ATATGACAGCACAAGGAAACGCTTCTTTTGGGCAGAGCTACCGCCCACGTCTGCTAGAGAAGCCAATCACAGCACAGGGATGTGTGATTGACTAAATATTGGGCCAATAGGAGAATTCAGAGACTACTATTGGGTTGCCAGGGAGCCTATCGTTGAGAAGAACAAGTGAGGAAGGGCTTTAAAGGTGATTCGGTCCAATCGAATGGTCGTATTTTGATTGACATGTGTAGCAAGCCAGTGAACGCTAGGAATGTCAGGGTTTGACAGGCAAGGGGAGCCAATCACGGGTTAGAAGTAGAAAAACAGTTTTGGTGAACTCACGTGGATCCAGGCAGAGAGATGTGATTTCTGCGTTATGTCCAGTTTGTGGACGAATTTAAGAAGAAGCCGGTGTGCACACACAAACAAAACAATCCGCGTGGTAGTAAACGATGCTAGCGGGGCTGGCATGGCGCTCTCATTTTTAGTTTTGGGGATGAAGCGTGGGAGTCGTTACATAACAGTGCAGCGTGAGTGGGGACAAAGCGAAAGCGGCAGCTTGCAGCCCCTCACGAGGGTTTTGTTTTTATTAATCACGGGGAGCACACCTGAGGATGGCGCAGGTGCTGCGCGCTGCAGGGGGAAGTTTTAATGAGGAACTCGGAGAGCTGCAGCTGCTTTCCGGTGTACTGCTGTGGCTTTTATGTGGAAGGTGGAGCACAGCGCCTCCTAGTGACGCACTCGGAGAGTTAATAAAAATAAATAAAAGTTTCCAGCTGTAAAATAAAATGGTGTGTGAGCAGACATGTCAGGTGATCACAGGTGTGCTGTGATCTGCTGCAGACAAACAGGAATTTCAAAAACATGTTTTTCTGTTCCTGGATTTTCCTGTAAGGGACTGTTTCAAGGTGAAAATGGGACTAAAACACAGAGACTTTCACAGGACCAAGGTCAGTGTGACAGCACAGACCAAACACATGCACCTGGTTTTGTTGTCGCACTAAACTAACCCAGCGGTCTAACCTGTGCTGTGCACTGAAGGTCTGTGGTGAGTGAGCTCATGTGGTTTTCTGAGAGCAAATGAACGTGCACGCTCTATTTCACAGCTCGGACTATTGAAACCTTTAAACGTGCAAATGACTGACAGTCACATCACAGTAATTTTGTTGATGAATGAAATCTGGTGCAGCAGAAACGATGTATCCATTATTATAATCAAAGAATCCTAAATTTAAGAGTCTGAAAACATGGTGGTAGATGCTTCCATAGGGGAACAAGGTTTCAAAACTCTACTTGGACTAAAATGATACACATGCAGCTTAGACGAGTATGTCCTGTAGATCACTGAGATTAAAGTTGGTAAGGTTATGATTCATAATAAGCTCCTGAGTGCAGAGTCACGTGACTTGGTTTTCTGTTTCACTTTGTTGAGTAGAAATCTTTGCGTTTCTTCAGTTAATTGCTGGAAAACCAGACTCAGTCAAAGAATCAGGACAGTGTCCAACCCCGAGATCTGTGACACCAACAGAAACAATCGTACATATGTGTGTCCACCTTTAGTGTCACACCAACACTGCACACTGTGTTTTATTGTGGTTTAGATGCTATGTATAAAAAGAGCTCACACCAGAGACCTACATATGTGACCTCAGAGTTCCTGTTGTCGGCCTTTCGTGAATCATTTCCGTCCATCCTGACATGAAGGTGAACATCATCTGCAGTCCTTTTGTCTTCATTCTTGGCTCTAATGTCACTAAAGGTAAGAACTTTGCACATTTACTGAAACCAAACAGTTTAATCTGCTCCTTGTTTCACTGTTTTCATGACGGTCTGTGTTAAACTGTGAGCTCTTGGTTTGTACTGGCGGACTCTATGTCCTCTCGCTGCATCGGGCAGGTAAATGGTCAGTCTTATTACGAATTCTGTGTTTGCAGGTTTCATCCATGAAGCCGTTCAGGAGAATCAGCAGGTCATTCTGAGCTGCCGTCGCTCTGTAAGGGGCAAAGTGACGTGGAGCAGAGAGAGTGCTGGAAGGCGGGTCGGTGTACTTACAGCTTACGGTTCCTGGAACACGAAACACGATGATCGATTTAAACATTACAGTGTGTTTGCAGACAAGTCCCTGTACATTCAGAGAGCTGCCGTCTCAGACTCGGGGACAGCTGACCGTGATCCCATCAGGTAACATCAAACCCTTTTATTGAGGACGTGTAATTATAAAATGAGAAGGGGGAAAGAGTCCTTGTTGTGGTTTGTATATTCCAGCTGTGCATTATGCCTCCTTTATCTCTGACAGGATAGACCTATGTATCCTTGGA